AAAAAAATAGTTTCTTGCTTTCTTCAGGTCAAATTTGAGCTTTGACGCTCCGCAGCAGAAACAGAAGCAGGCAGCAGGAGACCGGCGAAGAAGGAGGGCTGAGAGGAAAGGAGAGGAGGAAGAGGAGTGGGAAGAGAGAGGAAGAGGGAAAGACAGAAGCGGAGGAAATGGGGGGAGGGGAGGGAGGAGGGTGGCGTCAGAAGGGCACGATGGGGGCGAGGACTGCAGGAGGCTCAGGTGGAGAGTCAACGATGTGGAGAAAGAGAAACTGCAGCTGAAGGCGAGCCACAACCAGGAGGTGAGCTACAGCCAATCATAACCTGCAGTTCCTCTAATGTCCACTTGAGGCTCCAGCAGCAAAATGTCCAACTTTAAACATGTTTACAGCCTGCTACAAAAACGGTTTGGCTCTCAAGAGCTAATTACCCCCTTCATGTCATCTAAACAGTCTAAACAGAGGTGAATCGTTTAATAAAGTCACCTGAAATTGTGACCAAAGATGAAAATCGTAATTATGATTAAAAGATATGAAGGAGTGAGAAAGAAGGTTCAGAGTTTTGGCAAAAAAGTGCAAATAATGCATCGAAAATCCAAAATGTTCAAGATAAAAAGACAAAACTTTGGACAGAAATTAAAAATTAGCAAATGATAAATAATCAGCTACAAATAAAAAATAATAATGTAAGTGTGTGTGTTTGTGTGTGGTTACTGTGGTGTTTAAGGTGTGTCGGCTGCAGGCAGAGCTGACCCGGCTTCGGTGTTCGGTGGAGCGCGGCGAGGCTCAGAGGGTGGAGCTTCAGTACCAACTGACTCTGAGCCGCAGAGATGCCGAGCGAATCACCGAGCTCAGCAGAGACAAACAGGCGCTCACAGGTACACGAATCCAACGCACCTTTCTGCTTCATGCTGCGTGATCCCCCGCAGGAGCAGGCTTCCTGAAATCGGCCAATTAGAAAAAAGCTGGCAGTGTAGTTTAGTGCAACACATGATGTCACTTTAACAGAGCAGACTTTTAATGGTCCTTCCTTTTTGATTGTAGCGTGATCTGTGAAATGAAGTGCTACAAAGTTCTGTCCTTGTAGAGTTTTTCATGTCGACAAGTCAAAGAAATATAAGAACTCTTCATCTGTACTCA